AATTAAATAAATAAATAAATAAACAAATAAATAAATAAATAATAAAAATAAGGGGCAGCCAGTTGTGGTGGTAGACCCCCTTAATTCCAGCACTTGGGAAGCAGCAGCAGGTGGATCTCAAGTTCAAGGCCAGCCTGGGCTACATAGTGAGACCTGTCTCAAAAAAAAAAAAAAAAAGAGGGAAAAGAGGATAGATATAATGGTAAACCCATAGATTATCTAAATAGCTTTGGCTTTTACTTAGGGAAATGGAGATTTTGAGCAGAGGAGGGATATAAATGTATATTGTTGCTCCTTTTGTTTGTTTTGAGATAAAGTCTCAAGCTGGTCTCTAATTTGCTATATAACTGAGAATGACCTTGAACCCCTGATCTTCCCGCCTCTACTTCTTCAGAGCTGGGAATACAGGCCTACACCACCATACCCAGTTCTGTGCAGTGCTAGGGATCAAACCAAGAGGTTCATGCATGCTAGGCAAGCACTTTAATATTTTTAAAGTATTACTTAAGGGGGCTGGAGAGATGGCTTAGCGGTTAAGAACACTGGTCATTCTTGCAGAAGACCCGAGTTCAAATCCCAGCACCCACATGGCAGCTAACAACTGTCCGTAACTCTAGTTCCAGGGGATCAAACGGCTTCTTCTGTCCTCCATGGGCATTGCATGACACGGGTGCGTTAACCTACATGCAGGCAATACATTCATACACATAAAACAAAAATAATAAAATATTTTAAAGTATTACTTAGTGTACTTTAAAAACCAGGCAAGACTAGTAACAGAATAATTTAGAATAGTGCAATATAGTAGTGTTCCTGGCTGCAGTTCAGCTCAGGGGGAAAAGGTAGACCTTTGCTTGATGAATACCCTTATGACTATCTTTTTTTGTCTGTTTTGAGACAAAGTCTCACTATGTAGCCCTGGGTGGCCTGGAACTCACTATGTAGACCAGGCTTGCCTTGAAATCACAGAGGTCCACCTGCCTCTGCCTCGAAAGGCCTGGAATTAAAGGCATGTGCCACCGTGATCAACGGAGGTCCAAATTTTTTGACCAAATACGTGGATCTCACCCCAGCTCACTTCTCCAGTCTCTCTTCTCCCAACAACTCACCTCATTTCTCTTGAACCCCACCCCATGCAGAGTGACTTTCAGTCCCCACCCCCACATACCATGAAAGAATCTGTTTCCTGTCCCTGAAAGGTTCTTCCTGACCACCTTCCACAAAGACCCTAGTTTCTGCCTCTGACCTCAGACTACTTCCTCTGGACTAAGAAACTACCTATTTTCACAGTCTAAAGACAGTTATTCTGTTTAGAACAGACACTCCACTGTAAATCTAAGAGGAATGATCATAGGAGACTTAAGTCCTAGATCTGCCTTCCTGGGTGTGCACAGGCAGGCCAACTGCCTCCTGTACTCAGTTTCCTTCTCTGTCTTATAGGGTAAGTGTGTGACATGCTTAGAACAGTGCCTGGCAGACTGAGCTCTTTGCAAAGTAAAGTTTAAGCTCTTTGAGTGCGCCTTTCTAGACTGTATCCTATACACTCTGCAGCTAGACTGATCTAGAACT